TTACTGCCAAAAACACTTTTTTTTTCCCTGCTTATAGTTCCCATGATTTTAATAGCCATAATGCATAAAATATATGATATTATAAACAAACAAAATGTATTTATTTATTTATTCTACGAGAAATGAGAGTTTTGGTGAAGAAAACGTTAAATTGACATAACTGTCAAAATGCAGAAAGTTGTAATAGTCCTTCAAATAGGCTTTATTTCCTCTATAAAAAAAGCTTGATTCTACCATATTTGTAAGGTTTTAATTTGCTTTAAGAAATTATATGAATAGTGTATTTTACATTTACACCCAAACTCTCATTACTGTCATTTTAAAAAAAGCCTTTAATTTATGTTGATTATAATGGCAGAAACAAAGTGTTGAATTGTCATGAAAAATAATAATAGTCAGAATGTAGGAAAATATTATATTTATAAAAAAAATTGCATTACAGCAATAAGAGTTTTGTTGGGAAAAAAAAAAAAAAAAGGTTGAATTGTCATGAAAATGCGAGAATGCAGAAAAATCTTAATGATCCTAAAATAGGCTTTTTTTTCTTATTACTGCAAAAAATATATATTTTTTTTTTCTGCTTATAGTTATCATGATATTAAAAGCCAGAATCCATAAAAATATTATATCATAAATAAACATTATTTTACTTTAATTTATTTATTTATTTTGCATTGCAAGCAATGAGTTTTAGTGGAGAAAGTGTTGAATTAACATCAAAATGATGTCAATGCAGAAAGTCATAATAGTCCTTAAAATCAGCTTTATTATCTTTCTAAAAAAAACAAAAAAACACTTGATTCTTCCACATTTGTAAGGTTTTATTTTGCTTTAAGAAATATGCTTAGTTTATTTTAATGCCAGTTAAGCACATTTACACCCAAAACTTTGTTGTCATTTTAATTATAGTCATTGAAGAAAAAAAAAGTCTTTAATTTATGCTGCAGATTTTAATGAATGATAGAACAGATGTAAGCCTTCAGAACAGATTTCGACAATTGTTCATATTTGTAAGGTTTTCCAGGATTGTGGGAACCCAATATTTTGCTTGAAGAAATTTGCATTTGCATAATTGCACCCAAAACTATAATTTGGGAACAAACCACAGCAGCACATCATCACATAAAACAAATCTTCAGTTTAAACCACAGGCTATACCCACTCCATATCAGCCTTTCACTTTTGATTTTGAGGTGAAATATGAGCTGGACATGTTTCATGAGCAGTGTTGGGAAGGTTACTTTGGAAATGTGATCAGTTACAGATTACAACTTACCTGATCTAAAATGTAAAAATAGTGCAACTATTTCAATTACTTTATTAAAGTAATGTAACTGAGTACATTCGAGTACCTTTTGATTACTTTTCTAAATTTCTAATGTTTTCAACTGTTAATCATTTTCAAACATGTAAAGCAAGCAGGGATAACCTTACAGTACTCACTGATTACTGTCACTTGCCAAATCCTTCTTTTTATATAATTAAGATTATAATTTAATTTTAAAAGCACAGCCACCACAAAATCAGACTTTAGCACCAAGTTTTGTTTTACTTTGAGATCATTCTAAGGTTAAATACAGGTTTAATATCATAACAAGAAATAGTTTAATAGCCATGATACTGATTTTGAAATCATATCTTTGCTTAGTTATTACAGAAAACACTGGCATCTAACAATGCCAATTGGAAAAAAACAGTTAATCTTAAATAAAGCATATACATAAAACCAAATAGGTAATAAAACCGTTATCAAACAATCATGTGTCCTGAACTCCTGAAACATTACTGTTTCATATTTTAGAGCAGTCACTGCAATTTATGAAAGAAATCAGCTAAACCTGTTATGTGGGTGTGTGTGAAAATATTCAGATGTTAACTAATTTAATTGCACATTTTTTCTCAGTAACTGTAACAGATTACAGTTACATTTATCTTGTAATTAAGTTACGTAGTTGCATGTATCCAGTTATTCCTCAACACTGTTCATGTCATCCACATTCTCTGCTTCGGAGTTTAATAATAAGACGCATTAAGGTTCCCTGATCCATGCACTAGTGCGAGACTTACCAGGGGTGACCCTGCCTCCTCTCAGCGGGTGCCAGGGGTCCGGGTCAGTGGCCAGGAACAGGCACTCGGAGCTCCTCAGGTAGCAGCAGGCTTTGGCGAGCTTCATGAAGGTGAAGTTCTCGTCGTATCCCACCAGCACCGCCTTCACATCCGGGTCCAGCGGACAGGTGTAGATGCTGGCGCCCGGCTCCGCGTCCTCCTCCTCCGCCACCGGCACCCCGGCGTCCCGCAGCTCCTTCATCACCCCGCCGCAGCCGATCACATACACCTTCCCCTGCAGCCGCGCCACGTCGCGCAGGTACGCGGCGGAGCAGTACGCCGAGCTAAAGATCTCCTCCTCCGCGACGTCCGCGAAGCCGAGGCGGCTGAACTTCTGCACGTAGTTCTCCCGCGGCCTGGTGCAGTTGTTGGTGACGAAGAACACGCGTTTGCCGCGCTGCTTGAGCAGACTGACCACCTCCGGAGCTCCGGTAACGGCCGTTTCTCCGTTCCAGATGACGCCGTCGCAGTCGAACAGCACGTTGTGTTTGGAATCCAGCAGGTCCCGGATCTGAGCGCCGCCGAGCGTCACGCAGCCGCCGCCGCCGCCTGCCATCCTGCTGGCTTGAGATCCTATGATAGAAACAAGCGACGAGCTGCGTCTGTTTTAATCAAACGCGCCGAGGATCCCGTACGTTAACGGTTATGAACGCAGAACCGAACGCAACGCAGCGGAGCGGTTCACCAGCGTGTCCATCGCTGCTGCTGGTGAAGGAGGGACTAAAGACGGTCCAATCACATTTTTGGATTTCGCAGAGGGCACGCCTTCTCCCCAGTGTCCTCCAATCAGAAAGCGAGCAGATGCAACTCACTGTGATCGATTATTATAGCAGCCAAAGCCACTAGAAGCCAAGCCTGCAACCTTTAAGCCAAAAAAACGTAACGGCTAATGCTAACGGAAAGGAGGCCGTTTTTTTTTTAATGGATGTCAATGGAGGAGAGGCTTCACTACGCTGAATAAACAGCTTTTTAGAGGAAACGGCTTAACATTTAATTAATCGACAGCCATCTGCTAATCTTCAACATGTTTTACACTAAATTATACGTTTGGTTGGAACTATTTTTAGAGTTTACCACGAAAAAATGCCGTTTAATAAGAGAAGTCACTGACTTTTTGCAACAGGTGGGATTCAGCTTACGCCATTTCTCATTCATTCCTATGGTATCCGTAAACGGCAATTGAGTTTCGCACAACTCTGCCTGAAATTCAGTGACATCAAGGCTGTAATGTGATTGGTTATCAAGGCACACGTGATCCAAGTTGACACTCACATAATATCAACCACAAAAATAAAATGGAAACAAAGCACAAAAAAATAAATAAATAAAAAATAAAGATAAGATTGAGTGTTGCACAACTCTGAATGAAATTCAGTGACAAGTGTCAAGGCTGTAATGTGATTGGTTATTAAAGGACACGTGAGCCAAGTTAGCCGTTGCGCTTTCTCCAATGGACCTTTTTCACATTTCCTGGTTTCTCAGCAGCGGAAGTCGTCATAGTTGGGTAAACTTGAAGAGCAGTGAATGGGAGAGCACCACAAACATTTACTACACAGAGCCGTAGTTCACTGACAAGCTACACAAAAT